TAAATAAGCCTGTAGGATTTAATGACAGAAAAGTCACCCACAAAGGGCTCACATCAGGGAGAAACCCAGAGGGATTTTGCTTCAAACTCATCAACCAGCAGCTCTAGAGTATTGCAAAAACTTGCTAAAAAGTGATAATGAAAGGGAAAGGAAAGAAATAAAAGTATAAAAGATGTTTTGCTATACGAGTAGTTCATCTAAACTACCAATGGAGAAAAAGGAGACAACCAACTAGTTGGTCCTCAAATGAAGTATCCGACAAAGGCATTATTGGCCAGAAATTATAAGTGAACTGTAGATTAAGACTTACAAACGTGTATAGTTGTAGAAATCTGACTTCACAACCATTATTTCTACCAAAATGCTTAGCCTTCTCCATGTGGCACCCCCTAATCCGTTTTGTTTTCTTGAGTTTCAGAACCTAGTATTTTATTTTAGTTTGTAATGGTCATATAGCGATTGAGATTATGTAACAAAAAGGAAAACATGAAAAGTTCCGCCTCAACCTTGGAAGCAACCTGCAACCTCTCCTCCCTGGCCTCGGCCGTTAAATTTTCCGCGCCGCCCGCTGGTCGGGAAGCAGGGACCACACAGGCTTAGAGCACCTTCCTTCCTCTCTACCACTCCCGCTCCTGCCGATGTCTCCTGCTCTCAAGAGGCCGGGCGGCCGCAGGCTTCGGTACCCTGCCCTCCCTCCTCCGCCCCACCGGCCCATTGCACAAAGCCCAGGAAGACCCGCGGCCTCCCGCTCTCCCAGGAGCGGGCCCGCGAGCGCGTCAAACCTCAGTTCTTGAGCATCTCCCACATAGAACAATTCGTTTCTCAACCACGTTCATGGAACAATGTCTCAGTTGTCGAAAAAAAACTGATTCTCCAGCTGGCAACCCTTTCATGCCGATACCTGTATGATCAGTCACATGTCTCTCAGGTGACAAAGGACAGAATGCGCAAGTATGAGTCAGTTTACCACTACACCTCATTGTTGTTAACATCTCAGGAAATTGTGCTGTAAATATTTTCATGTTTTTGCAACCACTTATTATTAAATATGTACGGTAAGTCACCATGTGTCCTAAGAGGGTTAGTGATAGCAGCAAAGTGAAAAGGAAAGTTGTGCGAACAATGATAGAGTTTAAGAAGGAAATAATTGCAAAGTATGATAGAGGTATTTGAGTGTCTGATCTGGCTACCCAATATGGCATGGTAAAATTGATGATTAGCACAATTTTAAAATATAAAGAGGCCATCAAGAGTGTTCATGTTACTAACAGTGTGAAAGTGCTCATGAAACAAGAATCACAGGCAATTCAGAAAAGTTAAAATGCAATCATTTGGGGGTCTTGAATGGATTAATTCAATTTACATTATTTCTCACTAGAGGCCCAATGCACGAAATTTTTGCACGGGGGAGGGGGGGCCCTCAGCCCAGCCTGCACCCTCTCCAATCCGGGACACCTTGGATCCCCTGTGGGATCAGGCCTAAACCAGCAGTCGGACATCCCTCTTGCAATCTGGGACCGCTGGCTCCTAACCACTCACCTGCCTGCCTGCCTGATCACCCCTAGCCACTCTGCATGCCTGCCTGATTACCTCTAACTGCCTCTGCCTCAGCCCCCACCACCATGGCTTTGTCCGGAAGCACATCCGGAAAGATGTCTAGAAGACATCTGCTCTATCTGGTCTAATTAGCATATTATCCTTTTATTAGTATAGATGGGAAAAATGAATCCTTTTTCGAACAAATTGCTTCTCAAACAGACTTCTAGAACAAATTGTTAGAGAACCAAGTTTCCACTGTACAAAGAATCATAACTAATGTTACCAAAAATTATACATGAAGTACATACATGCACACATACAAAATTGGCAGTTGCTTCCATACAGGAAAATTGGGGCACTGGTGTTCTGGGTTAGGGGTATGGGGAGCTCAGTGGTTGGGAGACCATCTTTTGCAAAAATAATCCTTTATACTCCTTGAAGTTCTATCATGCATATATGATATTTTCAAAAATGTTTACTTACTACAAACTGAAATTTTTAAAAAATATATTTTATTGATTTCAGAGAGGGAGAGGGAGAGAGAGACAGAAACATCAATGATGAGAGAGAATCATTGACTGGCTGCCTCCTGCGCACCCCCCACCAGGAATCGAGCCCACAACCCAGGTATGTGCCCTTGGCCAGAATCGAACCTGGGACCCTATGGTCCGCAGGCCGACTCTCTATCCATTGAGCCAAACCAGCTAGGGCTACAAACTGAAATTTTGTTACAAATTGAGAAGTGTATACAGCTTATGCTTTTTCCTTTGTTTTCTATTTTATTTATGGGAAGAAATATGTTTTTACTAGTGAATCTTTCCGTATACTGTATGTAACACTTATTTATAGTGTGATTGCCTTCCTGCCATTTATTACCATCTATTCTAAGGCCCAAAATGTATACGCTACTGGAGGTGCATGAAAAAAAGCATAAGCTAAAGACAACATGACAAAATTATATTGATTTTCTAGCCCTTTATAACTTTTAAAACAGTTCTGCATATATACTTGCTCTTCACAACAATCCCATAGTCTATGCACAACAATTATTAATATACTAGAGGCCTGGTGCATGAAATTCGTGCATGGGAGGAGGGGTCCCCTGAGCCCAGCCTGCACCCTTTTCAATCTGGGACCCCTTGGAGGATGTCCGACTGCTAGTTTAGGGTATTGGGCCTAAACTGGCAGTCGGACATCCCTCTCACAATCCAGGACCACTGGCTCCTAACTGCTCACCTGCCTGCCTGCCTGCCTGGTCACACCTAACTGCCCCCCCCTGCCGGCCTGGTCACCCCAAAATTCCCCCCACCACCGGCCTGGTCACCCCTTACTGCTCCCCTTGTCAGCCTGGTTGACCCTAACTGCCCCCCCGTTGGCCTGGTCATCCCAAACTGCCCCCCATACTGGCCTGGTCCCCCCCAAATGCCCCCCCCTGTGGGCCTGATCACCCCACACAGCCTACTGCTCGGTCATTTGGTCGCCCCTCACTGACCCCCCTGCCAGCCTGGTCGCCCCACGCAGCCTACTGCTTGGTCGTGTGGTTGCCCCTCACTGACCCCCTGCTGGCCTAGTCACCCTATGCAACCTGTTTGGTCGTCTGGTTGTGATGGTCGCTTAGGCTTTTATGTATATAGATGTATAATATACAGGGTGTCCAAAAAATGTATATAAATTTTGAATGATTATAAAGTCAGTGTTAATTAACATTTTCAAAATTTAAAAGAATCTACAGAAATGAATAAGTTTTTTGTCATTGTCTGTTTTCAAACTGATAACTGTTCTGGTCCAGGCACTGCTGATAACACGAAGCAATAGAATCACAAACATCAAGAATCATTTCCTTTGCTATTTATGCACCTTCAATTCATCAACTGTTGTTTATTTTGTACCATATACTTTCTTTTATGTATCTCCATAAAAAAAGTCTAGTGGCATTTTAGGATAAATTTTCTTTGTTCAAAGGTTAGTCTGGCTTCACATTTTTTCAAATTAGTTAAACCTTAGAAGGAGTGAAAATTGAGTTATCAGCTGTTAAAGTGAATATACATTTTGGAGGGATACCATATAGCTGCAAATACAGTCTTGCAGAGGTTAAATTGCTTGCTCAAGGATCACACAGCTACTGAACTTAAATTCAGGCCTTCTGATTTCAGGTTACTTATTGCACATGGTTTTAAGCAGTGTGAGTCATGTAGATAATTATGATGAGGCCAGTACAATTTGAACAGGTATTTTGCATTTGACAGTAAATGCAACATCCTGGGGACATAAGAATAAAGCCTTTGTGTATTAATCCTTGAATTTTGGAATGTTTTTAAAGACTCATTTAAACCAACCATAATTATCTTACTTTAGAAAGTTCTTTCATATATGCTAATTCATTTGAACCACAAAATACAGCAAATATTGTCCTTAATTTGGGATGAGGAAAGATACTCAGAGAGATTAAGTGACTTATAAACAAGTGTTAACTGCTAGAGGCAGAGCCAAGATTTGAACCTAAATCTCTGTCTCCATAAATGATGCTTTTCCCACAGAAGAATGTTGCTGCCAAAGTAGCTAACACTTTTAAGAGTATAGGTTTTGAGCACAGTAGGCACTTCAATAAATGCTAACTTTTTAAAAACTTTCTGTATGCACACATGTAAATAATTTTATATAAATATACCAATACTAGAGGCCCAGTGCACAAAATTCGGCATGGGTAGAGTCCCTAGCAACTGCCAGCTACCGGCCAAGGCAACTTCCTTCCCCTGGCCACCTGCTGCCACCACTGGCCCTGCCCCCTGGTCAAACTTCTGGTCGAACTCCCTGTGGAGGAGATAATTTGCATATTAGGCTTTTATTATATAGGATAATCATATTATATATGCTAAAGGTTTTTTTTTGTTTAGCTTCCCTCTTTTGTTCCTTTTTTTGTTTTTTTCCACCCTCACTCTTCCATGCACCATCCAACCTCCAGGTTGTCAGCAATCCAACATGTATTCCTCCTTATTTTTTCCACACTCATGTACTTTTACATAAACACAAACATATACACATTTTGCAACTGACATTTTTATGTAAAAATGTGGGTATGTTATAACATATGTCAATATATTGCTTTTTTATACACCAGTACTATATAGAAGCCCCTTAATCACATAACTAATTCATTCCTAAAGGTGGTTGAAGAGCCTCTTATGATGTGAATGCATCATCCTAGTCAGTCATTCCAACGTTGATGGATATTCATTTGGTGTCCAATTCTCAGCCACTTTGTACAATGCTACGCAAAAATCCTTATTATGTGTCCTTGTGTACCAGAGTGTACTGGTGGTTCTATAGCCTTTTGATAGATTCTCAGAAATGAGAATTGCTGGGTGGAGGAGGATAATATAGATACATGTTTCCTTTAAATAGACAGTTATATTCCTTTTCTCCCAAAATGCTGCACCACTTCACATGCCCATCAGCATTAAGGAAGAATTTCTTTTCCTCATGTCTTTGCCAGCAGTAGGAGTTATTGTTCTTTATAAACTCTTGCCTTTTTTTGTCAGATATGTACTGCTAATTGTTACATTTATTAACACTTCCCTAAATATTGGTATTTTCGAACACCTTTTTATGTGTTTGTTGGTTATTTAGATTTGCTCTTCTGTGAATTGCCTCATTATATCTTTTGTCTACTTTTTTTTTCATTAGGCTCCCATTTCTATGCAATGTGCAAAAGTCTGGTGAATATTATAAAAATTAACCCTATGTTATTTGTGTTCATTTTTTCCAAATCTAAAATTTGTCTGTTTATTTTTTTCAAGGTATTTTTTGCCATACAAGCATTTGATTTTTGTATATTTTAAACCTGATATTTCTTTTATGATTTCTGGGTTTCCAGTGTTGGTTTAAAAGGTCTCAAAGTGGGATATTTCCAGTGATTATTAACTTACTAGAGGCCCAGCACACGAAATCATGTGCGGGTAGTGACCCTAGGCCTACCCTGCGATCAGGGCCATCTTCTGCCCCCTCACCAGTCCCCAGTCCCACCGCACCGCCACCACACACCCCAGTTCCCCGTGGTTCCCCATTCACCATTCAGCAATAGGATCCTGGGTACTGGAAGCGGGGGTGGGGGGGTGGGGGTGGGGACCGAGAGAATAATTTCCCATTTTTTCCCTAAAATTTGAAAATATAATACAAATATTGTCAAATAGTCCTAATTTCTTTTGTGAAATTAATTAACATGGAAAAATTCATATTTGTTTTTTAATCATTTACTCCTCCTAACTTTCTTTAGCTTTAAAAATTAATATTGTAATCATGACAACAGATGCTGTTGAATTGTACAATCATTAGGAACTGTGTTCAGATAGCAATTTTTTAAAAATGAGCTGACAGTCATTTGTTTAACAGGCTTGCATCACTTAGAAAAAAAGTTATTCAATCCTGCTATTTTTGAGTTTAAGGTTACCAAATTGTTTTTTTTATTAAATTTTTAGTTTTGAAAGTATTACATATGTCCTCCCCCATTGACCTCTCCCATCCTGCCCAGGCCCCCCACCCCAGGCCTTCACCACCCTATTGTCTGTGTTCATAGGTGATGCATATCTATATATATAAAGAGCCAGGGGCCATCATATCCAAAACAACCGAACAAACGACCAAACAGGCTGAGTGGGGCGACAAAAGTGGTGGGCCCCAGGCAGAGGCAATTAGGTGTGATCAGACCAGGAGGGGAGGGCAGTTGGGGGTGATCAGGCCAGCAGCCAGAGGCTGTTAGGGGAGATCAGGCAGGCAGGCAGGTGAGCAGTTAGGAGCCAGTGGTCCTGGATTGTGAGAGAAATGTCCGACTGCCGGTTTAGGCCAGGATCGGGCCTAAACTGGCAGTAGGACATCTTCCGAGGGGTTCCAAATTGGAGAGGGTGCAGGCGGGGCTGAGGGTACCACCCCCTCCCCCCCGTGCACAAATTTCATGCACTGGGCCTCTAGTATGTATATAAAGTTTTTGGTTTATCTTTTCCCCTCCTCCCTATCGTTCCCCTGTCTTCTCTCTGAGGTTGGATAGTATGTTCAATGCTTCTAAGTCTCTGGGTCTGTTTTTGTTCATAGTTTATGTTGTTCATTAGATTCCACATATGGGTGACATCATGTGATACTTATCTTTCTCAGACTAGCTTATTTCACTTAGCATAATGCTCTCCAGGTCCATCCATGATGTTGCAAATGGTAAGAGTTCTTTCTTTTTTTGCAACTGCATAGTATTCCATTATATAGATGTACTATTGTTTTTTAATCCACTTACCTGCTAATGGGCACTTAGGCTGTTTCCAAATCTTACCTATTGTAAATTTCACTGCTATGAACATAGGAGTGCATATGTCCTTCCTGATGAGTGTTTCTGATTTCTTATGATATATTTCTAGAAGTGGGATCACTGGGCCAAATGGGAGTTCCATTTTTAATTTTTTGAGGAAACTCCATACTGGTTTCCACAGTGGCTGCACCAGTCTGCATCCCCATCAGCAGTGTAAAAGGGTTCCCTTTACTCCATATCCTCGCCAGCACTTGTTGTTTGTTGATTTGTTGATGATAGCCATTCGGACATGTGTGAAGTGGTACCTCATTGTTCTTTTGATTTGCATCTCTTGGATGGTTAGTGACTTTGAACACTTTTTCATAGGCCTCTTGGCCTTTTGTATGTCTCCTTCGGAGAAATGTCTATTTAGGTCATTTGTCCATTTTAATTAGATTGTTTACCTTCCTTTTGTTAGGTTGTATGAATTCTCTATAAATTTTGGAGGTTAAACCCTTAATAGATGTATCATTGGAAAATATGTTCTCCCATGCAGTGAGCTCTCCTGTTATTTTGATGATGGTTTCTTTTGCTGTGCAGAAGCTCTTTATTTTGATATAGTCCCATGTGTTTATTTTATTCTTAATTTCCATTGTCCTAGGAGATGTAGCTGTAAACATATTGCTATGAGAGATATCTAAGACTTTGCTGCCAATTATTTCTTCTAGGAGTTTTTATGGTTTTACATCTTACATTTAAGTCTTTTATCCATTTTGAGTTTATTTTTTGTGTATGGTGTAAGTTGGTGATTTAGTTTCATTCTTTTGCATGTAACGTTCCAATTTTCCCAACACCATTTATTGAAGAGACTGTGTTGACTCCATTGTATGTTCTTGCCTCCTCTGTTAAATATTAATTGAGCATAATGGCTTGGATTGATTTCTGGGTACTCTGGTCTGTTTCACTGGTCTACATGCCTGTTCTTGTGCCAGAACAAGGCTGTTTTGAGTACAGTAGCTTTGTACTATAACTTGGACTGTGGTATTATAATCCCTCCAACTTTGATTGCTTTTTTCTCAAGATTGCTGTGGCTATTCAGGATCTTTTTAGATTCCATATAAATTTTTTGAATATTTTGTCCTAGCTCTGTGAAATATGCCATTGATATTTTAACAGGGATTATATTGAATCTATAGATTGTTTTGGGTATTATGGCCATTTTAATCATGTTCTCCCAATCCATGAACACAGTAAATTCTTCCACTTGTGTGTATCTTCCTCTATCTCTTTTTTCAACTGTAGTTTTCAGAGAACAGGTCTTTTATTTCCTTGGATAAATTTATTCCTAAGCATCTTAATTTTTTGTTGCAATGGTAAAAGGGATTTTTTTTTTTTTAGTTTCTCTTTCTTAGAATTCATTCTTGGTGTATAAAAAAACATGGATTTCTTGGTATTGATTTTATTTATTTATTTTTTGGTTGGTATTGATTTTATATTCTACTATGTTGCTGAATTCATTTATTAAATCTAGTAGTTTTTTGATGCAATCTTTAGGGTTTTCTATGTACAATATCACAATGCCTACAAATAAAGACAGTTTAGCTTTCTCCTTTCCAATTTGGATGCCTTTTCTTTCTTCTTGTCTGATCATTATTGCTGGCACAGCCAGTA